ACAGCGCTTGCGGGGAGCGTGTCCACGGACTTGGGCTATAGGCAGCGCTGAAATGGTGCTAGAGGCAGCGATCAGGGCAGCGTGCTTATAAAGGTTTCTCACGAAAAATGTCGAGGAACTTCCAACCGTCTCCGCTTTTATTTTGCAACCGCGGTCACAGCCAAGAAGATTTTTTCTCCAACACGGAAATATGCACTGTACACACTGCACCCCTGGAGCTAGCTAGGCGAGAAATGTGAAAGATATGCTGTGATCAGAGCTTGGAGCATTACACCAGTTACAATAATCATCTCCCCGTAGCTTATTAAGCTTGAGTCCGATCGCGAGATTCGCTCGCGTTAATTAAGCTTACCTTTAGTAGTTTGTTGAATATTTGTTGTCCAGGATCGCCTCAGATGCGTTGAACGCTACGATCCGAAGACAAACAAGTGGGAGAGAATACCGTAAGTTCCATGTTTCGATTGTGCAAAGAAGAGGTTCAGAGACCTAGAGCCTGCTTGTTGATCGTTTTCTAGGAGCATGATCCAAATGCGTTCCGATGCTGCTGCTGTTAGCGCCGGCGGTAAACTATACGTTTCCGGTGGATTCAATGGTACAGAGGTGGAGAATGCTCAATAGTCTTCGATAGTGATGAGGCTGTTCCAACTGCAATCAGAAAAAAGGAAAACCCTTCAGGTTCTGACATCCGTGGAAGTATACACTCCAGCAACAAACACCTGGATCGAAGTGTCTAACATGCCTGCACCTCGTTCGGGTAATGAACTAGCGATGCTTTGTGATTTTGACTTTTAATTAGTCTTCTTTAGGTCACTGTATGGTACTGTACAATCCTCACACGCTGATCGTGCTTGGGGGTTTTAATGGACAGGATCGGGTGAATACTGTGTTCATGTGGACAATCGGTCACTTATCATGGACAGAAGGGCCCCCAATGAAATCGAACAGGTTAGTATTAGCTATCATTTATGTGGAAGCGCTCTCACTTTTGTTTACTTCTTGAGTAATACTTCTGAAACTGGACTACGGAAGACAGATAGTTCACTTCGAAAGTCCAGGTCCAATTTTGCGGCATGTGCGCTAAAAGACGATCTAATTGTTGCTGGAGGATACTCAGCGTCAAAGACCATCTCAGGAGTAGAAAAGTAAGTTCAGATTCCAAGCT